ATATATAAACATATATATATATATATAAACATATATATATATATATAAACATATATATATATATATAAACATATATATATATATATAAACATATATATATATATATATATACACACACACTACTACTGTTGTGTCCAACAAGTCAGAGTTAAGACCCTCCGTACCTTCTGGATCTTGTCCAGCCACTCTTTGTTGGACTGCAGTTCGGCCATGAAGGCCTGGTGCTTCAGCCACTTGCTGTGCAGGTTCCTGGCCTCGTCGTAGGTCATGTCCTGAGCCGTGAGCATCTTCTCATTGATCCACAGAGACAGCTGGACACAAACACTGAATGTTATATCACTAAAGTCCAAAAGGTTCATCCTGGGATCAATACATTTCTATCGGCTTCTGGACCAAACCAATGAGACTTACCTCCTGGCAGTCCTGCAGGAACTTCTGCAGATCTCTGTTGTCCTTCAGTCTCATCAGCAGCTCCACTGCAGCCTCCCGGTTCTTCTTGTGTCTGAAACATGGAGGAAGAGGTCAGATCAACACGAGGGTTCTATAATCATCAACAATAAGGCAACAAATTCTCCGATAGGAAAAGTAACAGGAAGTCACCATAGTAAAAAGCAGAAATAATCCACTCTGACCAGTGCCGTTATGGAGAGTAATGCACTGGGAGGGTTACTTTAACTCATAAAAGTATGAATTTGTAGAGAACTCTTTCTAAAAATGGTCCAATTAAGTCTGAAATATCTGAAAAGTGATCTGAAGCTGATGTCCACCTGTTGTCGATGGAGGAGACTCTCTCCTGGATGCGTTCAGCGTTGATGTTTCTGTCGCTGGCCAGCCGCCTGCCAGCCTCCACCACGCCGTTGATCTTGTCTTCGTTGGCGTCCATGGTGGTCATGAAATCCTCCTGCTTCTTGATGGCGGCCTCGGCACCCTCGAGAGTGGTGGGCATCTCGGTGTGAGCCAGGACGTACTCCTGTGGGGGGGCAAGAACACAGGGTTCAGTACCGCTACAGGTCCATTTGTGGGACAGTAACAGTGCCAGGGGAAAGTTTATGTTAGGATGACCCTTGAGGTCATCATTAAATGATAAGGGTTCATCTTCTGGATATCTATACCCATCTGTGCTGCTGGTCCTCTGAGGACCTGCATATCCATGCAAATCAGGAAAATACAGGAGTCCTGAACTGGTTGAACAGATTGATTTGGACCAAAGATTTGGACAAAGTGACATGCTCTGATACAGAGACCAGAAAACATCAGTAACAATGTCAAAATGTGGGTTCTGTTTAGAGTGTCACTTTGTTTTCAGATCAGGTTCTTTGGTCACCTGCATTACTAGAATGGGTCCAATCCTGATCCACGTTAACCCCATGACATTAAAAGATACTAGACTGCAGTGAGGAGAATCTCTTTGTGTTTACCTGGTTGTTGAGGAAGGCCTCTGCCTGCTTGGTGTCCCTGAGAAACAGCTGATAGGCATGAGACTGGGACAGCAGGTTCTGTCGGTTCTCCCACATCTTGTGCAGTTCGTTCCAGCCGGTGTCGAGCGCCTGCAGCCTCTGTCGAAGGAACATGTACTGCGCGTCCGTCTGGCCCTGTGTCACCATGTCCCCCATGTCCCGCATCTTCTGGTAGTCCTCTTCGTAGTTCCGGATCTCGTTCTTGATGCCTTCGTGCTGGGCCATGAGCTTCTCGGCCTCAGCCAGAGTGTTGGGCATGTCCTCGGAGGCGATGGCCGTCTGAGTGCGAGACAGCCAGGACTGGAAGTCGTCCAACTCACGCAGGAACTGCTGCAGCTTCCTGGCCTCGCCCAGTGACTCCTCGCGGTTCTTCAGAGTGTTCTTCATTTCCTCCCAGACGGCGGTGATCTCAGCCAGACGGCCTGTGATGGCCTTTGCCTGGTCGGGGTGTTCCTCCGCCAGCCGCTGGGCCTCGCCTCGCAGATCGCCCAGTTTGTCCTCGATGGCAGCCAGGTCACGCTCCATACCGGTCAGTTTGCGCTGCAGGGCCATGACCCCAGTGAGGTCGTTACCCAGCTCCTGGGTGGACTCGATGACCTTGGTCTTCTCTTTGATCCAGGACTTTGTCTCGTTACAGTCGAGGTGGTAGTTCTGCACACCCAGTGCCGAGTTCAGGGCCTCTTTCTTCTGGTCCACCAGATCTCGGAACTGGCTCCACCTAGAAGTAGAGGAGAGGATCATCACGGTCCACAGATACCATCACACCAACACTTTCATGGTGTTTACACTGAGGACAAACAGACTTTGTTGCATCTTTGTATTCTGTTGTTTTGCCATTCACAAGACAACTAATTATTACATGTTATATCTGTTTGTACCTGTTGTTGAGTTTGTCCTGCTGGGTCTTGATGTCTTTTTCACTCGGGTGACCATTGTGCATCAGCTGCCGGGCGATCTGGTTTACCACAGCAACACGAGACGCCTGGTTATTCATCTCCGGCTCCAGACTCTCAAACCTGCCAAAGACACAGTCCACATGAATACAGTGCTGGCTGAAAGAGATGGACAGTCCCAAACATGTATGCAGCATCTTGTAGTCCTACCTGTGCTGTATGACCTCAAGGTCCTCCAGTTTCTCAGGGATCTCCATGCTGTTCAGCCACTGCTCCTTCTCGTCAATCCAAACCTCACAGGCGTTGGCCTCGCTGAACATCTTGTAGAGTGCCAGAGCATCGTGCAGTGCCTGCTTCCTCAGCTTTGTCAGTTCTGTCACCTCCTTGTGGCGCTCCTCGATGCTGGCCAGACGTCCACGCACCTCCTCTGACTCAGCCTCCTCTTGAGGCAATAAGGCAGCCTGCTCGTGGAGTGAGTCAATGACCGGTCGGTAGCTGGCCACCTCCACCGCCGCGTCCTTGTGCTTCCTGAAGAGAGCCTGGGTAGAGAATTCGTCATGGCCTGTCTCTCCGCTGGAGACGATTCGCAGGGCGTCCAGTGTCCAGGCATCAACATCATCTGCATCGACCTGGAACTGGTGCAGTGCCAGAGCCTCCTCCAGCCTCTTTCTTCTCACTGCCGCCAGCTGCTCCAGCGCCGCCCACTGAGCCTGCAGGTCATCGATACGTTCCTGGATCTTGGTGGCGGCGAAGTGGTCGGTCTGCACCATGGCCTGGCCCTCTGTGATGGTGTGCTTGAGGTGGCTGGCGCGGCCGCTTATCTCATCCTCCAGGGCGCGCTGCTGGCTGAGGAGGCGTAGCGCCCCCGTCAGGTCCTTGCCGTGCTCAACAGATGACAGGATCTGCTCCTTCTCACGGATCCAGCCTTCCTCTTCGGCCATCTCCCAGAAGAACTTCCAGAGACGGCGGGACTCCTCAAGGCGGGCACGGCGCTCAGCGGCGAGCTGGGTTAGCTCCTGGTAGCAGAACTCCAGGTGGGAGACCCGGTCCTGGATGACCTGAGGGTCGCAGGGCTTGTAGCCTGGACAATAACCCACTATTATCAGCACTTAGCTGATTTGGTTCTTGTATTTACGTTCTGAAGCAATGAAGACTTTACACTGCCTCAAATAACTAGAGAAATAAGCTGTCACTGTGTAACCTCATCAAAGTAAAATGCCTGACTAATTTCCCTGCTCCTTGTTAGAAAATCATTTGTAAAAAACGGAACACAAAACAACTGATGAATAAAAAACCACGTCTAATTTAGACAGAATGTTTCAGATCACGCTGCTCACCGTCGTCGTTGGCGGAGTACTTGGTGGCGTTTGTGCCGACTGCCTTCACCCGGTCAGCCTGGATGGCGATGTCAGCCTCAACCAGGGCGTGTTTCTGCAGCAGGTCCTCCACACCTAATAGATGCTTCCCATAATCCTGAGACAGCAACAACATCTTGAAACCAAAAGACAGACAAACAGACACAGAAGACCAATAGTTAGGATTGGCAGTCGAATTCAAAGATTAGAAGAGGAACGCTGTAGAGTTACTTCCCGTTTCTGGCCCCTCTCTGTGCTGGACGATCAGAAATTAAAGTGATCTCCATCTTCTCCATGATTGAGGTTTGTTTCATCATCGTACCTTCATCTCGTCCATCCAGTCCATGATGTAGAGCATCTCCTGGAAGACTCTCTGCAGGCCCAGGTTCATCTCCAGTCTCTGTCTGCGGGCCTTCAGCAGCTCCAGCAGGTACTCCCACAGCCGGATCACGTTGTCCTTCCTGGCCGTGATGCGTTTGATGTCGTGGTAGTGCTCCACCTCCAGGTCCTTCGCTACGGAGACCACGGCCTGTACGCGCTCCTCGTACGCCGCAATGTCCGTCTCAATCGCCTCGTGCTTCTTGTTTCCCGCCTCGACGGCCTGAAGGTCGAAACCAAAGTTGTCCTGGAGAGAGAAAGGAGGCAGCAGTGCACCCATGAAACAAAACACATGCAGTTCACTTTCTTTAGTTGCAGTTGACGCTAACGTGGAGCATCACCTGGATGCGTCTTCTTACCTGTGACACCAGTCTCTGGTTCTCACTGAGCCAGGTCTCTCTCATGGCCGCCTTGCGGTCGAAGCGTCTGGCGAGTTGTTCCAGTTTCTCCTGACGAATCAGCTCCATCCTCAGAGCCAGCTCCCTCTCATGCTCTGCCTTCTCCAGTCGCTCCCAGGCCTGACGGCGAAAAACATCATCACCATCCAACACTTCTCCACAAAGTTATTGAGAGCTGGTGAAGCAGAAGCTGCCCACATTAACTACTGCAGCAACTTAACAGTCCTCAAACCTCAGTCCCTGTGAGCCTGGTTCAGGGTTTAAAAAGCTTTGTATTGAGTCTACAAATTCCTTTATGGAAACCAAATAGAATGTCTTATCGAGTGTAATAAAGTTCAAACTTTTTGAATACTAAAATCAAAGATACTTAACCGAAGATTGAGGTAAGATCTGTAAGCAGAATGTCTTGGCTGAAACACTACATGAGTAGCATTAGATATTAAACGATTAAATATGTATTGAAATGTTTAAATAACAGACACATTAATTAGACAACAGCTATGTTTCATTTCAGCCTTTTAAAAAGTTATTTTCAGAATTAACTTTAATTATCTTCAGCTGATTTGATGAGATAAAATATCAAACAAGACATTTGTTTAGTGAAACTAATGATTTTCTTTATATCTGTCAATTATATCATTGATTAATCAATGAATCATTTGTCATTAAAATGTCAGAAACACAGAGTAAACTGACGGTGTTTTTTATTACATATTCATGACTGGAGGTGGAGCAGCTCTCACCTTGTTGATATCTGAGATGAGTTTTCCCTCTCGGGGCATGTAGACCTTCTGGTTGTTGGCTCTCATCTTACTCTGGATGGTGAAGAGAAGAACCTCCAGGTTTCCCTTCTCTGTGAACCTGAAGACGGACAAGAGAGAGACAAGTTCTCAGTTAGTTTGTGGAGTTCTGAAATCTTTTGTTTGATCAAACTGCAAGCTGAAGGTTCTGACTTTGGGGGTTTCTCCACGGTTCGGTAGGTGTTGAAGGCCTGAAGCTGCTGCTGGACTCCGACCAGAGCGTTGGCAAACTTCCTGTTGTTGAGGATGATGATGGTCTGTTCGATCCACTCCAGCAGGTCTGAGGCCAGAGACTCGTACTTCTCGATCATCTTCTCTGTCTCGATGGCGTTATCCAACACCTGGACAAAGAAACAAAGACGTTTGATTCTGTCTGAACATCAGAACAAACTGGCTGCTGTGTTATGGTTACAAATGATTATTTCTAAAATTGATCTGGTGAATACAATATAATGTTATAAATAAATGTTTGTTGGTGTTTGAATCTGTTTTCTGACCTTTCCGATGCGTTTGCCCTCCACCTTTAGAGCTTTCATCTTGGAGAAGTAGTGGTAATACGTCACCACGTAGGTGATGACGGACTTCTCATCAGGATGGTCCACGCTGATATCTGCAACACAAAATGTAAAACCAGATGTGTGTTTCAGGTCAGGTTTAGCTAAACTGGTTGTGTCTCAGGTCAGGTTTAGTTAAACTTGTGTTTCAGGTCAGGTTTAAATCATTTGGTTGTGTTTCAGGTCAGGTTTAGTTGAACTGTATGTGTTTCAGGTCAGGTTTAGTTAAACTTGATGTGTTTCAGGTCAGGTTTTTGTTAAACTGTATGTGTTTAGGTCAGGTTTAGTTAAAGTAGTCCAGTAGGTTACCCTCTGGATCCAGCAGCTTGGTGAGGCCCAGGTGTTGCTCTGCCAGGTTGAAAGCGTTCTGCAGGTTGTGGTGAGCGTTGGACTTCTTCAGTTTGTCAAAATCAATCAGATCGGATCTGAAAGTGAGAGACAACTTTATTTACCAGCTGAAAATGGTTTAAAGTGATGATGATGAAGATGACGATGGCGATGACGATGATGATGATGAGATTACCTGTGCTTGTGGATGAGAGCGTTGAAGGCCATGCCGTCTCTCCAGCTGGTGCTGAAGTTGTGGATGTTGACGTTGGGATATCTGAAGAAACAATATCAGAGTAAACACACCAAACATGGTAGAAGTATCAGGAGTACTCAATAGTAGTAGCAGTAGTAGTAATAGTAGTATAAATACAGGTACTTACCCCGCCGTCTTCATCTGACACCAGAGCAGCAGAGCGTCTTTAGCTGATCTCTTCTCTTTGTTGTCTTCAGTCTCCACACGGATGTCCTGAATCTGAGACACAACACATCACAGTCACACCGCCACCTGTCTAGGGTTTACAGGTGAGCACACTAACCTCCACCTGTCTGGTGTTTACAGGTGATGACACTAACCTCCACCTGTCTGGTGTTTACAGGTGAGCACACTAACCTCCACCTGTCTGGTGTTTACAGGTGAGCACACTAACCTCACCTGAGCTGTGTTTCCACTACGACGGTCTAACCTGAGCTGTTTAATAAACGCAGGTGAACTTCATGATAAAGTTATTAAAGTGAATGCAAACCAAAATATTTACTGAAACTATCCGATGAAACCTAAGTTTTTTATTTTGTTATATTATATATATTTATTTAAATGACATAATAAATGCTAGCATAACATTAGCTTTATGCTAGGACTGGGAATATCTCCCGTTGTCAAGTCGTATCTGAGGTCCGTCCTATTTACTGGAGCATTATGGGATGGTCACGATGGTTCCAGGTATTAGTCACACCCTCAGGGTTACCTGTCCTTTCAGGTGAGGTCGTTACCTGGAAGCGGAGGATGATGGTCCAGATGAGGCCCAGCACCAGTCGGTGGTTCCCGTCCACGATGTCATGAGAACCCATGTTCTCCAGGTGAACCCTCTGTTCCTTCAGGAACTGCAGAGCTTTGTCCACGTTTTCCAGACAGTGAATACGCATCCGGCCTTTGGTGGGCTTTGGCTGGACACCGACGAAGAAGAAGAAAGAGAAAGAAAAAGAACAGAAGAACAAAAAAAAGAAGAAGAAGAAGAAAGAGAAAAAAGAAAAATAATTTACTGTGAATTAAATGTGTACTCTGTGTGCACTGCACCAGTCTCTCTCCTAACAGTTGTGTACTCTGTGTACTGTACCAGTCTCTCTCCTGACAGGTGTGGACTCTGTGTGTACTCTGTGTACTGTACCAGTCTCTTTCCTGACAGGTGTGTACTCTGTGTGTACTCTGTGTACTGTACCAGTCTCTCTCCTGACAGTTGTGTACTCAGTGTGTACTGTACCAGTCTCTCCTGACAGGTGTGTACTCAGTGTGTACTGTACCAGTCTCTCTCCTGACAGGTGTGTACTCAGTGTGTACTGTACCAGTCTCTCTCCTGACAGGTGTGTACTCAGTGTGTACTGTACAAGTCTCTCTCCTGACAGGTGTGTACTCAGTGTGTACTGCACCAGTCTCTCTCCTGACAGTTGTGTACTCTGTGTGTACTGTACCAGTCTCTCTCCTGACAGGTGTGTACTCTGTGTGTACTCTGTGTACTGTACCAGTCTCTCACCTGACAGGTGTGTAGTCTGTGTGTACTCTGTGTACTGCACCAGTCTCTCACCTGACAGGTGTGTAGTCTGTGTACACTGTACCAGTCTCTCACCTGACAGGTGTGTAGACTGTGTACACTGTACCAGTCTCTCACCTGACAGGTGTGTAGTCTGTGTACACTGTACCAGTCTCTCTCCTGACAGGTGTGTACTCAGTGTGTACTGTACCAGTCTCTCTCCTGACAGGTGTGTACTCAGTGTGTACTGCACCAGTCTCTCTCCTGACAGTTGTGTACTCTGTGTGTACTCTGTGTACTGCACCAGTCTCTCTCCTGACAGGTGTGTACTCTGTGTACTGTACCAGTCTCTCTCCTGACAGGTGTGTACTCTGTGTGTACTGTACCAGTCTCTCTCCTGATAGGACCTCCAGTAGTTTGATGAGCATGCGTCCGTCCCTCAGGTCCAGGTACAGGTCTGTGATCCTGCAGGAGACTCTGGACAAGTGAGAGTTCACCCACTTAGTGAAGGTCTTCTTCTGCACCGCCTCCCGCTCATCTACACACACACACACACACACACACACACACACACACACACACACACACACACACACACACACACACACACCAGCAGGAAATGGTCCAGATGAAGGTGGTCTTGAATTGATCCTGAACCTGGTCTCAGAGACCAGAACCAACATGGCTGACCTCTGACCCCTCAGTCTTCTTCTCACCTTGTAGCTGTTTGAATCGACCCTCCAGCAGGTTGTAGTTGGAGTCCTCCATCGCCCCCCCGATTACCAAATAGTATTTAAATCTACTAGTATTTATATTTGTGTCCCACGAGGCTCATCGTGTAAAGAAAAGTCTTTAAATCCTCAGACGTGGAGCAAATTTAAAGAGAAAAACCACAGAAGAAGAAACGAAAAAGTCGACTTGCAGACGAAGACGTCCTCGTGTCTTCAGGAGCAGAAAGAAAAAGAGTCCAGAGGTCAAAGTCTACGAGTGTGTGTGTGTGTGTTGAATCATCAGCAGCTACATGCTGCTCATTCTTCTTCTGCTGCTCTGATTCAATAAAAACATTTTTTACAGCGTCTTGGGAGGAGCTTCATCTATCAGCCAATGACGTTACAGTTTGACAATGATGTCATCATGGGTGTGAAAAGGAGGGAGGGAGGGGTTTCCCTTCATTGTTCTTTCACATTCCTGACTGAAGGACAGGAAGTAAGAAACAAACATCCTGCACACACATATTATATTTTATATATTTATATTAGTGCTGGGCAACGATTACAATTTTTAATCGCGATTAATCGCATGATTTTTTTTAGATTAATCTCATTGTTATGCGCAAAATTCAATAATTAATTCAAAAGTAGTGTATTGTGCACTTGTATTTTGAAAGTACTGCTATATGAACAAAAGGTCAATAACATTTGGTTTGTAAACACTTTAAACACATCAGGTTGTTGTTAGCAGCAGTGTTCCCTTTACACAGCAGCAGTTATAACACAGTTATATTGATTCTGATCATAGATATTCAGCCGGTGTTCAGAACTTTATCTTCATGTGCATAAGAGATGCAATTTGAAATATACACCTTGAAAACTGCAAACCTATCTACTTCTTTTTTTATGTTTGTTAAATTGTCAGTAGCGATAACTAACTGATGCTTATTATACATATTACAAACAAAACACTTTAAAAACTCGACAATATGTATTTTAATATTGTCACTGTTGTAAACTGTTTGATTACATGATTTACTTTTATTGTGAAGAGCATGAAAACAGAAGTGCTTTTCCTTTGAAGAGACAGGAAGTAGAATGGTACGTGTTCTTGACGCTAACAACGTTGATACGTAGAAAACCACATGTCGGGTGCAAGAGCGCGTTGTGTTCACTGTAACACTGTAATACTGCAGTTCAGACAGTAAAGTGTTCCGTTCAAACAACACGTGTCTTGTTCCTCACAAGAAGCTCCACTTCACAACAGTCACGTTTTATCTGTAACGAGACGGTGTGTGTGTGTGTGTGTGTGTGTGTGTGTGTGTGTGAGACAAGAGTGAAGGACGGTGACGGAGGGTAGGAGGGGTTCTGGACCCGGGGGGAAGAAGGAAGTGACACCACACAAACACAGCTGTTCACTGCTTGCTGCCTGGTTCGAGTGTTAAAAATGTCGCTTAATAATAAAAAATAAAAAAACTGCATTAATGCGCGATAAAATAATTGTCTGCGTTAATTAATTAATGTGATAATAACATCGACAATTATTTTATCGCGCATTAACGCAGTTTATGAAAAATTATTAAGCGGACATTTTTTAACACAAGATGCGTACGCATACATGGAATTTGACTCGGGTTTCCACTTTGTTCTCGATGTACATACACAAATTTACTTTGTCTCTGTTCTGGTCTCGTTAGACATGTCTCTGTTCTGGTCTCGTTAGACTTGTCTCTGTACTGGTCTCGTTAGACTTGTCTCTGTACTGGTCTCGTTAGACTTGTGTCTGTTCTGGTCTTGTTAGACAGAGATAATCCTTTCAAAATATAGATGTTCCACCCGAGACTGTCCCACCCGAGACTGTTCTACAGGGTTCATACACATTTTGACCAATGGATTTCCATGACTTTTCCATGACTTTAAACCAAATTTCCATGACCAAACATTTTGCGAAATCTCGGTGTATACATGAAAAAGTGACCACACTGGCTGTGGTCATTACATTGAACATGTCTGGCAGTGTGATGAGCGGACACGTGAGCCCTTGTTGCTGTAGTTCATCTCCTTGGAGCAGATGCTGCATTTAGCATACCCTGCCTTATCAATGTATTTGAAACACTGACAGCAGGAAGCTGTACTGCTCTCCCTTCATGTCTGTTTAGACCTCCACCTTTATCCAGGCCCAGCTCCACTCACATCTCAGCCCTGCGTCAAGCTACGCTACACAAACAGCCTCCTCTTCATTAAGCTCTTTGACCTCATCATCTTATCAGTATCTCGGCCTCATGTTTCGTGATCATGAACGTTATGACCATTCGCATCATTCTACTTTGAGTTTAAAAAAACCTGCAACCAGATCCGCCGGTGTTCCGGTTTAACGTTAATACACGGTGTTTCATCACGTTACGTTTTTTTCCCTCCTAATTCGCGATAATGACGAACGTTAATGGTCGACAAAGTTTCGCATGCAGTAGATGTTAGCCTTAAGTTGGAGGGAAATGAAGACGGTGTAGACATCTTAACACTGATTGGCCAAGACTCGACACATCAAAGATGTTCTATTGCGAAGATCACGACGTCACCTTTCTCATTGTCTCACTTAAGGTGGTATTTGAAGCTAACTAAAGGCGGTATTTGAAGCTGACTTAAGGTGGTATTTGAAGCTGACTTAAGGTGGTATTTGAAGCTGACTTAAGGTGGTATTTGAAGCTGACTTTAGGTGGTATTTGAAGCTAACTTAAGGTGGTATTTGAAGCTAACTTAAGGTGGTATTTGAAGCTAACTTAAGGTGGTATATGAAGCTGACTTAAGATGGTATTTGAAGCTAACTTAAGGTGGTATTTCCTACCTGCCAGTGCCTTGATGCGGGAGCGTTCAAAGAGGCGAGCCGAGCTGTTCTCGTTATCCCACTCTTCGTCCCAGCGGTTGTTCACCGTGTCGTTACTGCTGTACTGCTGCTGCAGCTCCATGTGGTCGAACTCAGCGGCCACCGTCGTCATCGTGACCGTTCACCTCTGACACACGGCTCAAAGTCAGCGGGGACGTGTCCACATCGGCAGCTTCAGGCCGAGCCCTGCAGGACGACAGGTGGACATCATCATCATGATCAATAAAATTATATTATTGTGTTTTTGACGTCAGACTGGAGCTTCAGTGAACAGCAAGTACTCCATATACTACTACATCACGTACTTTATGTTTGGAATATTACTGATGGATAACAAGTATTTTGCAGCTCATCTGAACCATAAACTGTTGGGTTGTAGCATAACATAGAAGTACTCCAGTAAAGTACCTAAACATTGTACTTAAATACAGTAGTTGAGTAAATGTTTGTTCTTTCTTTCTTTCTTTCTTTCCTTCCTTCCTTCCTTCCTTCCCCACACACACACACACACACACACCGAATCAGTTGGAGCTACTAGTTGATCATGTTAATCGATCAGTCTCATAATTGGCTCGTTCGAGATGAGCCAGTCCTGATCAGAGTCAATCACAATGCATGCCGGGTAGATTTGTATCAGACTTGATCCTGACTTGCTCTGACATCATGAGCACATAGTCAACAATGAAGTCGTGATGATGTCATGATGAAGTCGTGATGATGTCGTGACGAAGTCGTGACGATGTCGTGATGATGTTGTGACGAAGTCTTTAAGTTGTCGTGACGATGTCGTGACGAAGTCTTTAAGATGTTGTGACGAAGTCTTTAAGATGTAGTGACGAAGTCTTTAAGATGTCGTGACGATGTCGTGATGAAGTCTTTAAGATGTCGTGATGAAGTCTTTAAGATGTCGAGATGACGTCGTGATGATGTTGTGATGATGTCATGATGATGTCGTGCCGAGGTCATGATGATGTCGTGCCGAGAGCGACCACGCTGTGCTCCCATTGGCTGCTCGATGAGCTGACTGCAGCTAATGGAGGAAGTAAAGAGCTCCATGATCACATCAGAGTTATTGATCCATTAGAGCACTCAGACATCCAGAGGACGTCCTCAGGGACCGTTAATGGATCGGACTTCCCAGAATCCTCTGCTGGATGATGGAAACAGATCTCTGACCAGTCGGAGGCGACAGCTGCAGCTCAGGAGGACAACAGGTCGGTAGAGTAACTCAAGAAGTAGCTAAGTACATTTACTTAAGTACTGGACTTGTACTTATTTATCTTTTTTAGAGATACGTGGTTCTCACAGGACAGAGAGGCTACAAACATTATGACCTCATAGAATATGAAGCTTTGATGTAGATTAAACTAAACAGGGTATAAAGGAGCGAACATGCTACACAGAAACATCAGATAGAACAGTGAAACATTTCAGTTTAACTACCTTAAAGACACCGTGAGGTCTGATTAACACTGAAGCGTCTTTATGAAATAAACAACCTTTGAGTTCAGTTTTAAACTTTTCAAAGAGTCTAAAATAAATAATAGTGAAGAAGGTGAAACAATAAAAAGGTTTTCCCTGAAGAACAAGATATTTGGGGATAAATATAGAGATAATTTCCCCTGAGTGAAAACTGGAAGGCTGACAGATATACAGAGGGGGGGGGGGGGGGGGGGGGGGGGGGGGGGGGCAGGAAGTGTACGGGGCCCCTCCCTCACATTCCTCAACATGACGACAGCCACTGAAACTCTTTCACCACTAACGTGTTAGCTTGTTAGCTAATGAGGCACAGAGACATGGTTCAGGACATAGTTAGCTTAGCATAAAGACTATAAGAAGCAGAAACTGATTTCATTCAAATGTCTCTTCAATAGTAAATAAATGTCTCTCTCAAAGACAGAAGGAGAGGTATAGTTTCATTTAATGTGTTTAGCCTAGCTTAGCATAGAGACCATCAAAAGTGCGTTGCTTTCTTTAAGTATACTGGAAAAGAGTGTGTGTGTGTGTGTGTGAGAATAGAGTATATCTGTGTGTGTGTGT